CCTCCATTGGTTAATAAATTTGATTTCCATTGATGACTTTTGTGTGATTTTGTTGTCAGCACATTCAACTTTGTACAGAACAAAGTATTCAATGAGAATATTTCATTCATTCAGATCTAGGATGTGTTATTTGAGTGTTCCCTTTAATTTTTTGAGCAGTATATATATATATATATATATATATATATATATATATATATATATATATATATATATATATATATATATATATTTAAATATATATATATATTTTATTTTTTTTTTTTCCATTTTTTTAACCAACAAAATAATAATTAAATAAGAACTACAGATAGGAAAGTGCATAAAAACGTTTTGTTAAGGACTTGATCAAAAACCCCATCAGAGCATTTCAAGGGTCAAGTTTTAGTCTGACTTTTGATTACATATTATTTGTGTTGAACTACTTTGTGCTATAACAATTTCAACAACTTTTACTCTTGACTAAATGAATGTACATGCTGCTATATTACAATTATTACCACTATTTTGATTTATGCATTTGTCTTTATTAACTTTAAAGGCTTCATCACATTTTGACATGGACTTCCTGATGTTTCTCACTGCATGATTGTGTTTCCTCAGTTCTCAAACATTTATAAATGATTCAACACTCTTCTCTATTTTAGTGTGCTTTTTATGTTGGTTCAGCTGTTTTTAATCTTTGTGCAGCACTTGTGAGCTACAGCTGCCCGTAAAATGCCAACTCAGCAAATAAAGTTGGATTGTTAGAAAATAGCAGCTGCAGCAGCAACAACTAAAAACCCTTGGAGACAGAGTCGGTAGCAATTTCATGCAGAGAATTTGACTGACAAACTGTAAATGTGGCAAATATGGAAAACTCCTGCCAAAATATTAGTGCCGCATGCAAGTTGTTGGCTTTTGAATGAGCCCTATTAGATTCTATAAAGTATCAAAATAGTATAAAGTATTTAAAAAAGTAGTTTAATAGTAAAAGATTTGTCTTTTGAAGAGCATCGGTAGACACTGTTTTGGGAATTTTCTTCTGTTAAGTTTAAACTTTCTGTTGTTGTAACCCAAGACATTTCATCCTGATTTTATTTTTTTTTATAGAGTATCAATAGGATTTATATTTAATAAACATATATAAAAACACAATTATAATAATTGCTGTTTGTTTAGATCCATTCAGTTTATAATCTCCTGCATTGTAGCATTAATAAGAATAGCAATCCAGAGATATTTAAATATGTGACCATGCTTTACACAAAAAAATTAGTTGTTAAAATGAAATAAAAAAAACTGACTCAAATGTCATGATAAATGTATCAAATAAATAAGACACACAACACACAATAATTGTTAAGATTTTTGTCTCCATCTGGTGGTTAATACATTAAGATGCACCACACTATTCAAAACAATGCAGAAAATACGCTGCTAACCAACCAATTTTACAATTTAAAAACAGTTTTTATTTGCTGTAATAACTAAAAAATACAAGGCATTTGTATTAAAAAAAGAAAAAAAACTACATAAAATTTAGCTGAGCAAAATAATCTAAAACCGCAGGCAACAAAGATTAAAAAAACTCCACATATTTTATTAAAGTTACAATCCATAATTTTATCCCAAAACAATTTCTATTTGTAATACATTTGACTTTGTTAAACTGCTACAAGAAAAATGACTTTCAATCAACCACAAATATTGCAAAAAATAAAAAATAAAGACTTTTCTCATCCATGGACACAAACGCCTGCATTTTAGTTAGACAGCATTTCCCTGTTTTTAAATCTTGTTCATCTGTTGTCTTCCACAATAATGCTCCTCCTGGGGTATGTGTCTACGTCCACAAATATATAGCGAAATTCATATTTTCCAGTCTCAGCGTTCTGAAAATGATAAAACAGACGTCAAGAATCAGACAAATATAAAATTTGAATATTCTCATTAGGACTTACAGTATGTTGCAAAATATTCAACTTATTACACATTGTCATGTTTTAAGCAGATTCCTTATTGGAAATAATTAGGTTTTTATGTGATAAGACCAGTTTCACATTCTTACAGGACCAGTCTAAACATACAACCAGAGCTACTGAGGAATAGCATAAATCAAAGCATAAGAAAAATAAGCCCAAAAGTCAGTGCTAAATTATATTGAGAAACTGGCAAGATTTAGAAACTGCTGTTCACAAATGTCACCCACCCATTGTGGCTGCTAAATAACTTATCAGACTTTTCTTTGTTATGAAGTTATTCAAACTACAGGTCGACTTACTTAGGCTTTAGAATTACGCGCAACGTTTTGTCCGTCTACGACATAAACTGAAAATAACATTCAAATTTGTAGTTTGGAAACTGGAAAAATGTGCAAAAGTATGAAGCAGCATGAATACTTTTGCCAGGTAAAGTACGCACCTCTTTTGACTCCGAATGCACCGTTCCTTTCAGGCCCGGCTCTGAGCCTTCGATGTAAAATTTAACTCTCATATGTTTTAGTCCATCCTTCATGTACTCCGTGTGTCTGAGTCGGAAAACAGAAGCAAGCACAAAGTTACAGGGAAGCCACCACAAAGACGCCGATCTCTATTGAGAGTCACATAAAAAAGCCTTCCTAAAATATTTGAAGTTGATGTTTGATATTAAAGCCCACCTGACTTGCTGCCTCCTTCCTCGACGGGTTGTCTCACCATAGCATTTGATTGGCTCGCCAAAGGCACCGATCACCTGCATTTCAGATTAGTTCAAATGTTTCAGAGTAGGGCACTTGTATCTGAATTGAACCAACAACAAAAACCTTTGGTAATAGTGGGAGATGCAGTCGGTCCTCAGCTGTCTACTGTCTTGCGCTACATTCACACTCCAGGCTTCAATGCTTGATCTCAATTTTTTGTGAAATCCATTTTTTTTTTAGTGTGTGGTCAGTGAATATTTCCAAATATATTTGACTTGCATGTGATCTCCTGTGGGAACTGCAAGCAACCTAAAAGTGTCCTGCATGCGCAGTAGGGGATGCAGAGTAAACATACTCGGTGTTTGCGTAAGTAAACATTGATGGTAATGGTGGAGCATATTTTAAAGTTGTTGTCCAAATGGAGCCAGCACATTGGCAACTTATCGTCATGGTGTGAGCGCAGCCTTATTCTCACCTCTGGGTGGGATTTGACTATGTCAAAAGCTCTGCTGTAGACCTTGTTTGGGCTCGAGGAAGAAAACAACTCCTGAAACACCACATACAGCAGCCCACCTAAGACAGAAACGCACAATCTACTAAAGTTCACTGGTATTTCAATTGGAATTATTTAGATGAAAGTATTCTAGGTGACATTAATAAAACATTGTCACAGTACTTTCAATATCCTAATTCCATATGCTCGCTTTCTCTCATTAAGATAGATTGAAGCTAAATGTGAACTGGAAAAAAAAATGGATGGATAACAGATTGGGACTGACGCTTAATAGATTGACAGATGAATAAAGGATAAATGCAGATGGATTAGTGATGGATGGATGGAATATTCACATAAGAAAGTGAACAAAGTCTGGGTATTCAAACACTATTTGTTTCTATAATTTCCCAGACTGCAAAAGAACCATTTTATTTACCTGTGACTCCCAGGCCGATGAGAACTACTATCAAGTAGGTGAAATCTCTTCCAGCTTCTTTCACTGCAGTAACCAAAGGTTAGGGGGTTAAAAGCCGATTATCACATCCAGTCTACAGAATGTAGTCCAGCTATAAGGTATCCAGTGGGATGCAATAAAGAGCGTTTAGTCTGAACAAAATACTTTTCTACTACGCTTACAGAATGACTCTGGTCGTTTTCCTATCGCCTTGCATACCTTTCTGTGCAGCTGAAGGTGTAGGCGTCCCACTCTGATACCTGGACACAGACTTGCCTCTGTCTTCGGGGCTGCTTCTGCTTCTGGCTGTACAGTGGACAGACGCAACTTGGTGTCTCTGACTTGCAGCGAGACAGTCCAGTGAAGAGACCTTTGACCCGAGGCGGACAAATGCTGGTGCTGTGCTCAATGTCCTGTGCGTGTGGACAACATAGCACCGGTGCACACAGAGTTGTGTCGCGGTTTGTCTCAGATTTCTGTGCAGAACTTTCAAAATGTGAGCATAAACCATCATTATTCTGGTTGGGACGCCCGTAAAAAAAAAAGAAGGGAGAGATAATTACACTACCGCCCTGAATAAGTACGTAAAAGTATATTATTATGACATGGATACAAACTAAAACTACTCCAACCTCAACCGCATAGTGTCAAACAATTCAGGACGCAGGGCGCATGACTTTGACGTGCACTTATTCGCCCATATTTGGAGGAAGCATATCTCCACCTACTGGACTGGAGGATGATCTGCATGAAGTAGATGAACTGAAAATAGATACGTTTATTAATTTGGGATTAAAAATTCAAATGTCGGAGCCATTAACAAGAAGACAGGAGGCAGACCGAGTTTAGATTATTTTCACAAGTTCTATTGGAAGTGACACAGATTAGAAATAAGGCAGATTGGTTTGGAGACTAGGTTAGAAAGGAAAGGCTGAGAAGAATTGGACATATGGAGAAAGGGTATAAGAGCGTTATGTGAAAGAGGAAAATGCTGGGGTTAGGTTGAAATAACCAGATTATCCACTGTGTCCCTAACAGCTAAAGCATAGCTTAAGAAAAAATAATATTATTCTATTTTTGCTTGAAAACAGTTTTCTTTTTCCCTTTTTTTTTTTTTTTGAAGAAAAGCTTTTTGGCTCATAAAGGAATCCAAAAGGAGCAAAGGAACTAAGATGTTTCATAAACAAGACTTGACACCCAAGCTATTCCATTATTGAAATGAAATATTTTGAGTTTTTATACTCTCTGATTTGATTTTCTATAACTCTCCATAGTTTAAGATGTCGCCCTGTCCGTATTTTCCTTTGACTCTCCAACATTCCGCTCATTAGAAGGTAGAAGCAACATAACCTCTGTGGAAAAAAAAAGAGTCACAGAAATTAAATCAGAAAGCATTAGTTTATTGAAAACAATTCAGCATTTTCTTAAGTTGTTATCAAATACAAGCTAAATTAGATAAAGAAAAAAACAAAACAAAACAACAAAAGCAAGTGTTAAACTTGAATTAAGTATGACAGGAAAAAAAAAATTACAGTGCGACTGAAGTGTTACTAAATAAATGTTTAAAGATCAGCAGATTAATTTGTAACTCTACCATGGTTTTATTTCACATATCCTGAACTGTCATTTGTTTTTATATAAAAGGAATCTGATTCTCTACTGAGAAACCATGACATCAAAATTGAAAATATGGTCAATATGGTTTGTGAAAATGTTTTTTTTTTTTTTTTTTTTTTTTAAACCTGATTCTGTCCTTTTTTCACCTAAGAGCAATTTTACATTAAAGGTACTTTACTTAAAATAAAAATCTGTCTTCTATCTGAAATCAGTTGCTCCATTGCTCATCAAGCCCAACCTGATGTGGAGCTGCACAGGATGGAAGGGGGGGAGGGGATGCACCTTTTATCATCCAAGGTAAAGAAAAAGACGGAAGAAAAAACTTTATCAGAAACTTAAAAAATATATTCTGATCACAACACTCTACAGCAGTAAAGTTACTTAGGGTAACAGTTCATCACTGAGGATGCACACAGGGGAGAAACTTTAGCTCCGAATGATGTCAAACTTGGCAAGATGCAGCGGAATGATGCATCTGTCTGATGTATCTGCAGAGAAATAAAGACACTATTACTGAAAATCTGCTCCAGGCCCTGTTCCGTTCCAACCTGCTGCCTGGCCTGCCTCGGATTGATCCGATTCAGATTTGTTCAATTAGAGATTGCAGCACTTCCACCTTGGAAGTGGCAGATGGGTCTGCATTTACGTTTGTGCGTACATTTGAGCATCTGTTACATAGCGATATATAAGAGCATGTTCAAGCTGTGCTAGATACTTTTTGAATTTTCTCTAGATGTTGGGTTGTGAACTAAGAAACGAAAGAAAAAGTCTACAATGTACGAACAGAAACAAAGTATTTTATTGGTACTTGTCAGAGTATGTATGACCCTGTGTTTATGTAATGAGAAGAGCACAAATGTAATCATGCATGAAGTACATCAGACTAATAACAATAAAAGTAAAGAGTGTTGATGGTGGTTACAGTGAAAAGAAAACCACATATTTAGACAAAACTCTAAGAAAAATATACACAAAAAGAGTGTTGATTGAATGTTAGAGTTATGTCTGTCTGTTTTCATTTTTGCACTTATCACAAAAAAAAGTGACCAAGTCATCATAATAACAAATAATCAAATTCAGAATTAATTTAATCAATTGACAGTAGTATATTTATACTCGTATAATAAACATTACATTATCACTCACAGTCAGTCCAGCCTAAAAAAGAAAAGTGTTAAAATTAAACAGCTGTATTGCCCACTGAAATAAACAACTTTTTGAACTATTCCTTAATTGTGAAGTTCCAAATAGTGGAGTATTATTTTTTATTTATTTATTTTTTTTTATGTAGGGGATATGGCTCACCACATGGTGGCAGCACAATCTTGTAGGCAGCACAAACACTGGCAAATAAGATGGAAACTGGAACTTTTTTTTTTTTTCCTGTTAGAAGACGTAGCAGTCAATGGGATGTCTCTTGTGCACAGTAAAGGCACTGTAAGAGACATGGCCAAACAAGTAAGGTATTGTTGGGGCCCTTTTCAAAGTCAAGTGATTGGACAGCATCTCCCAGCATTCATTGTGCTGGAATCCAACATACTTATCCCACATACTCGATAAACTCATCACAAACTGCAGAGATAAAGTGGCGGTGGAGAAAGACACTCACGCGTTTTGTGCCTTTTGTGTAGCTCTAAAGGCTAAGCGAGGCCAAACGTTTAAGGTTTATTGCTTTTTGCGCAAGTGGTTTTCTTGCCGCGACGCTTGACATCTTCACCTCCCCCTTTTCTTTCCCTCTCCTCCTCTTCCCTCACATGTTGTGCTCACGTATATTCTTAATTAGCTCATTAGTCTTGATGTATATTTCAGTATTCCATCCCTTAATTGCAGTTCATTATTAGTTAGTCGATTTGATTCTTGATTGTTCATTGTCTGTAGAGCAGTAGATAGATTGCATTATTAGTAGTCCGATATGGGAGTTATTGGCTGAATATTTTGACTGTAAGGGGAATCTATTTTTGTTTCTAGATTCAGATGCTTTTAAAAGAAGTTTTTGTGTATTCCGGTAAATGTGTGAAGTATTTTCTGTTCAGTAGGGTTCAATTCACAACTTCATGTGAGACTGACGAGTTTGGTTAACGATGTCGTGGAATGGTGCCCAGACTTTTTTTCCCCTAAAAAAAAACAAAAAACAAGCTTAAACTCTACTAATAATTTTATTAATAGTAAATTATTAGTCATAATTATTCATAGTTACATCAACCATTGATACAATTCCTGTTGCACAAGAGTATGCTGAATCTAATCTCATTTGCATGTTGCCATTTGGGGTAAAACTAATTGGGTTTAGTTTAACGCCCATTTAGTGTTAAGCTAACCACTCAATGGGTGTTACACTAAACAGCCATTTAGTTTAACACTGAATGGCAACATGGTGCTAAACTAAACACTAAATAAGTGTTAAACATATATTCCTGTCAGCTTATCTAGACAGGAATATGATCATCTTAATCTTAAAATGTAAGAAGTCATTAAACCTGGAGAAATATATTTGAGGTCATTATCTGCATAGTTCATCATTGATTCATATCTGATGCAATAAATTAGACTGCTTTCAGCAGAATGGTCCTTTTTGGGGTAAATGTGTATGAGTGGGATTGTGAAGTTTGGGAAACTTGGAGTGCAAAACAGTTACTCTAATGCACCATTCATGCTAGGGCAGCTGCAGTAAACTGGACGTAAAAGCAAGGCTAAATCTTACAGCTGTGATGTCGGCGAAACAGTAAAGTTGGCATTTTATATCTTAAACCTTTTCAAATTGAGTTTTGTGCTCCAAAATCATTTGGGTGAATGTCGGGGCAGCAAACCATAGTACAGGGTTTAAGAAAGATTAAGTCATGCCAAATGACAAAAAAAATAAAAAATAAAGCACATAAACCCATTCAAATTAATGACAGACTAGATGGAAAACAACATAAAAAGAAGAATATTCATGTTTTGGAAAGACCAGAGTCAAATTTATTACTTCAGGCTCAGAGCAAAACTGTGTTATGTCATACAAAATAGTTTTAAGTCGACAGTGTTCACAAATTTGGTAAAAGTGAAAATATTTTGGTGGTTAGAAAGAAATACCTTAAATTTTATTGCGAGTTTTAGCACTTAATGGAGCCATCTAAAAACAATTGCTGCAGCTAAACAGACTATTTTTTCCCATCCTGGACTGTGACTGATATGTGCTCAATAAAACACCAATGACTGACTGTCAAAGCTCAATTAATTTTATAATGATGACCAGGATATAATTATGATTAATAATGAACATGTAATCATTATGATAATCCTCATGATTGTAAACACAAACCATTTTTATCTGTTAGGTTTTCTTACAAAACTATTCCAGCTATTTGGATAGCTAGACTGTTCTGTTTTGTAGACATGTGATAATGAAAGTACACCCTATTTCATCAATAAAGGTTTACACACCAGAAAAAACAAAAAAAAAACAAACAATATGATTACAAAAATGTTCTGGTCTAAAGATCATCTTAAAATTAGGCAAATAATACATTGATTCTTATTTGTTGTTTTTTAAAAAAGCCAAGAAGCAGAAATGGTCAATATCACCCAATATGCTATTTTCACGTGTTTGCTATATATATACAAACACGTGTATTTCTATGAAACTTGAGATTCTGCATTGTGGTTCAATGGCTTAGAAAGATACCTAGCTTTAAATAAATTATGCTCAGGCATCAATTTTCTATGCATCTGATGCTGCATTATATTTAATTTAATCCCTAGCAGAGCCAGACCGAAACAATTTTCTTAGGCATTTCAAAAAATACCATGGCATGTGCATTGCAATGTAATGTCACTGGCATTGGAATAAATGCGAGTGCTAATCAAAAATATCACTGCAATAAAATAACACTTAGATTAAATAACCTTAACTTCATACTAGCTACGCCATCCAAATGCTCCGTGCATGCTGAGATATCAATGGTTTGCTCAACAACCTGAGGACACGCTTAATGGACACATGAAGGAGCTGATTAACATCTGATGAATCAAAGGAAAGCTTAAGTATTGCATTTATTTTAAAAAGCATCAGCAAAAATAAGCCCTGAAAGATAAGTTGAACAATGTATAAACCTTCACTTCATTGTTTCCTATTATAAAAGTCTCTTTTCATACAAAGATATTGAGCTTCAGTAGAAGAGAAGTCAGTCAGACTTAAATATTTGTCAAAAAGGCTCATTTTAAAGTGAAAGTTTAAGTCAAAAAGTTTGTCAACATATCAAAAGACAGCAACGTCAAACTCAAATCAGGCTGTGAAAATGTGATTGCAGAACGGCGTGTAGTGATTTACCCACACGCCATGCAATGTATTTGACGCATTTTGTGAATGCTATTTAAATAGCATCTGAAGCTCATACAGTGCATGGATAAGTGTTTCTTTTTTTTTTTTTTTCAACTTTAATGTTAGTATGTTAATGGTTTAATGGAAAATAAAAGAGCATGCACAACCCACACACCTCTACCTTACATTATTATCCAACATAAAACAGAGGTTTTTTAAGCCCACAATAAAAAAAAATGAAATTAGTTTAGTAATACATAGAGTAAAATTCAAAGAGAGTAGACCAATTGCAAGCCTGTATAATTTGTTGTGAAAATCATAGCATGTATGCCATTGACTGAAAAAAGACATGCTGAAAAACGAACTTAGACTTAGTTCAGTTAAACTTCTTTTGTGGTCAGAAGGAATTTATGTTAATGACACAGATGTTTCACAGCCCAAACAGAGGTCCTTGAACTGTGTTCCTTCTATATAAGTCAAAAAAACAAAACAAACAAAAAACCCTGCAACAGCAGCAGAGACGACTGTTTTTCAGATATCCGTCCTCCACAACATTGTGGCTAGAATATTTCCATCTAGTCCTTTGTAATCTTTGCGCATGAATACACCTCCAGCATCCATTTCATTAAAGTGTCCCCTCATCATCATCAGCATCATGCTGGTGTAAATCTCCGCTCCGCTTTGTCATGTGTCAGTGACGCCCGTTCGTACTGTTCCAGGATAGCACTATTCTCAAGAAGTCTACATGATGGAGACAATGCAACATAAAGTACAGCATAAGCAGACACAGACACATTAAGACAACACATTTCTCACGCTAAGAGACAAAACAATGAGTAGTAATTGTTGGAACGACTTCATTATATGCTCACATGAAGCTGCGGCCCTTTAGAGCACAATCACGTTTTACGTCACCAAACAGTTTTGACTAAATCAAACTATTAGGGATCAGTCAGATTAAAAAAAAAATAATTCAACAGTTCTGCATATTACTACTGGGTGCTTACAATTTCTTGTGTCACATTGGGGTTTTTGCAACTTCATGCAAACAATGTCATGGAGCATTTGCACATGTTACACACAAGCATAATAAGAAGAACTGATATGTCATGCAGTTCTATAAGAGGATCCCCATGTAGGTGTAACTGACGGCATAGGGGATCTCAGTGTGCTTTATTAATTAAGTGGAAAATTGTTCTTAGACTTAAAAATCTAGAACTGTGTTTGGTTTTCATTTCTGTGCTTCAATCTTGGCAAATTAGGTTTCTTTATACTGACTATACGAACGGTTTTCTTTTTCCACGGGTCATTCCTTACCAACTTAAACTTTCCCATCTAGGACCACTGACAGCTCTGATGAAAAAAAATGTCAGTGAAAACTTTTCGGACTTTCTAAAACTGAAATATTAAGTTGTAATTTGCTCTAAATTGGTTCAAAATGAATGTATACACTCATTTTACTTATCCATAAACAAGTTATTTGATTAACTCAGAACGCACTGCTTACATTTTTTGACTTATTTAATCATTTTTTTTTGACCAATGGTGATTGAAGAATGAACGACACCCCACAGTCGTGCGTGACCAAGATGGTGACCAGCACAGAGAGGAGATGACAGATTGTTGTGCTTGTTTTTCAACAACCCAAACCCACTACAGAACCTGCCTGTTAAATTACAGAATTGTCATATTGCTACTCTTGGTAGTCGAACTTCATTGTGGTTGCAATCTAAAAAAATTAAACCAAACAAGCCAATAATAGAAGAAGCTGTTTAGCATAGGCAGAGATAATTCTCATGGTCATAATAAAAGTTTGTTGCATTTGGTTACACTGAAAACTCATAAAAGATAGTAACAAAAAAATACAAAGATTAATGTTTTTCTTAATTTGAGGGAAAAAAAAAAATAAGAGTTTGTCTTCTCTATGATACCAGAAGTCTTCAATCTACCAATGAGGAGAGTGCAAACTGGGAAGATCGTGTAAGTTGGCAAGGAATGATCTGTGATTCTACTTGGAGAAATATTAAGAGTTATAACATATTAAGTGGCATCAGTTTCAAGAAAAATGTCTAGAAGTCCGTGGTAATGCATGTGAAAGTGGTTATTAGAGAAAAGGCTTTTTAATGATGAACATACTCACTTTAAAAGCAAGATGGCAACAAGCAGGAAGACCATCTTGATAAACAGTAAAAAATAATAAAAATATATACATACAAAACTGAACTGGTAAAAATAACAAAAAGCCCATGCAAAAGTCACAGAAAAGGAAAAAAAAATAGACAAAAGTATATACTGAGAGGGGCAGATGGCAATTACACAACAAAAAAGGTGTTGAGTGTTAGATAAGCGTGCTTACCTTGGGATTGTCTCCTAGACCCTAGTTGTGTTGTACTCTGATTCATGTTTGCTCAAAGAGCCAATGAGGCAGAACCTGAAATGTTATGTCTCTTTCATTTAATATCAAACTCATTTTGCATAGAGGTTAGAATGCATTATGTACTACACACTGTAAATGTAATAAACTTAATTTGTCATTTGGTGGGCATAAGGAGCCTTGCATGCACGACTGCAGTTAATCATTACAGCACAATCAGGAATATCCTGGAGTGAGTACATAGAAAGTGCATGCAAAGTTCATATAAAGTTTCTTAAATGCTCTATGATTCCTTCATACAGTAGTTTTGTAAACACACTGCAGCTTTCAAGCCGTCTAGATGCAATTACAACATGTTTATTTTTGTTAATAAAATAGATGCTAATGTCAAGAGAACATATTTTCCGTATCGCAGTTTGGAATCAAGTGCATATTTTGTAACTTGCATTATTGTAAAAAAATATATGGAATTTCAACAAGGCACCAATTTAAGCCCTTTTGATTATTGTCAGATTAGAGACTAAAACAAATGGCATCAATGACAATAAAATGACAAATCTCAAAGAACAGATAGAATTAAATATAGCTGTCAAATACATATGAACAATTATAGAAAGCTAACTGGGATGCGTTACAAGTTTGAGGATGAGCATGCGAGATGAGACACACTGTATTTTAGCCCTTTGTTAGAATTTGGGATGGCAGAAAACAGGTGAGTGAAGAGGGTGAACTGAAAAGTGAATGGTAAAATGGAAAATAAACAACACAAGGAAGACTAAGAACAACGCTCAAATAAAACAACAACAACAAAAAAAAAAAACATAGGTGAATATTTGTTGCACATTTCAAACTTTGTCATTGTTAACTATGGTGCAGCTGTTCCTTCCTCATCAGAAATCTATGGATACTGACCGCTGTACTGCCTTTTCGTGGCGCGACAGTCGGTGGCTCGTCGTGGGAACTTCTTCCAGGTCATCGTCCAGGTCGCACCCGTTGTCTGCCGCCTCTTGCGAGTAGCTGTGCTTCATGACCAAGATGCTCCTGCGGTTCCCTGTGGCCGGCAGCAGCGGCCGCACCGACATGGGCGGCTGTGGAAGGTCTGCGAGCAGAGCTGCCGCGGCCCCTGAGTCACGGGCACTTAAGTTACTCCGGCTCCCTCGCCCGCTGAGCGACAGCTGCGATATGTGCGCGGATCCGGGGCAGGAGGGGGAGCCACAGTGGTGGTCGTGGATGCAGCGGGAGGAGGCCTGGCGGAGGGCGTGGTAGTTCTCAAAGTCCTCCGCCAAGTCAACCAAATCTGCAGAGGCTGCTGTGGGCGTGGCAGCGCTCCGTAAAGTACACAGCTCGTAGTGAGGGGGCTCGAAGACCTCCTGAAACATGGTGGGGTCGAAGTCTTCTCGTCGCAAGATGTACTTCTTACGCGGCTGCTTTATCTGAACAATTACTGAGACAATGAGGAGGATGAAGACGATGCAGCAAGTCACACCAATTATGGCCCCGTTTGTGGAATTCAGATTGTCCAGGAATTTGGTATTAGTTTTCTCTGCAATGGTAGAAACACATGAAAACCTATATGAAGGAAGAAGAATCTCATGATAAATATCAACATTATTTTCTCAGTAATAGAAGAGCGGTGACAAAACATCGAGTGTTAGGTCATTAGATAAAACAGTTAATTATCTGGTCACACTTTACCAATGGTAGGTATATGTGGCATTTCATTAAGTCACACAGACTCAAAAATACCAAATGGGATTGAATATTTACCCTCATTAATATAAGCTAATATGTTCTAAAAAGAAGTTGCACCTCGTTTTCTTTGCACCCATCATCAAGCATTAATGGTAAAGTTAATGTAGGTTAGTTGGTACCTGTAACAATCCTGACTTTTAAGCATGACTCATAAATTCTGCAATTGAGTGTTTGTTAAAGATTTGGAAGTGAAGGAGTAAAAAAAAAAAAAGTTAAACAAACTCCTAATTGTAGACTATTTTCATTTGTTTTCTTTACCACTCTGATCTTGATTTATTCCTGTTTACCATTCCCGTCTCTTCTTCATCATCACGTATTTTTTCAGTGCTTCGAACCAACATCAGCTCTGCTAACTACACATATCTGGTGCCTCTCTTTTTCCATTCTTTGCCTTCAGTAGCTTAATTATTTTTCCTCTATTATTTGTTCTGCCTTTAAAGCGATATGTGTTGTGCTCAATGTGTGCAAATTATTGATTGAAAAAATGTTGTGACATTCTCCAACAGAAAGCAAGCAGAAAGATCAGGCAAATAAAGAGCAGAAATTAGGAAAATAAAATGGTGTAATTATTAAAGAGGAGGCCACTTCCTTTTGCACTCTTCACGCAACTGAATAAAAATGTCACTTTAAAAATACATCCATTGTTTTTGTTAATAGCATGAGCATCTGTAAAAACTAATTCCAACAAACAGAATACCAATCTGTACTCTGATCACTGACATTTAAAAACTGGATGAAATCCTGCACAGAGCACAGAGCTTCAGTGACAGTAATGGATTATATTAAAGGGAGTGAAAGGGAAAGGAATAAAACTTGACATTTTCACAATAATTCAAAACATTGTGGGACCTAATGCATTACTACAGCAGAAAAACAATAACCTCAAAATCCCACAGAGCTTCTTTCCTGTTTTGTTTTGCACGATTCAGACACAAACTATGCAGTCTATCCACCGGGTACAAATAGACTCGGTTCTGTTCATCTTTTCTGTGTATGAAGAAAAATATATGCGCATATATATATATATATATACTGAACTGCTACTGTTTTAACCTGAGGACCATAGGTGTCAAATAAAAGTGACAACTCTTAGTGTACAATTGAAGCTGTGGTGACAATGTGTGCAAAGGATGTGAAGGCTGAAAGATTGGAGGAGTTAAAGTGACTTTGCTGCAGCATTTTAAAGTCTTATCGGTCTGCCTTTTCCCTTCTGTCATAATATGTGTGAACAAAAAGGCTTTGATAATACAGCATTATTTCAGACTTTTCATATTAATATGAATAATTAGGTTTATTCTTTTTAATTGGCAAAGAGGCACATCACCTAACACCCCAAGCACTTGACATCCTTATTTGTACGCCTTTGTCAATAGAGAATGCCCCCGGTGTAAATACTAGGAAAATATGATGCCCTACTGTTGCTGGAAAAAGTTGCTATTTATGGCTTATAACTTCTTAGTGAGCATGCAATTAAAGGGCAATTTCACTGATTTAAAAGGAACCCTCACTGCATTTGATTTTCTTAAAACCAGAACCGGGATATTCTACACTCTACAGAGATCACAGATCAATTTTCCTAAGTCTTTATATATTTTTAAAAACACAAGCTTTCCTGCCATTTGGGAGACCTTAGATCAGAGGTTCCCAAACTGTGGGGCGCGCCCCCTAGGGGGGGCTCTATGTCATTGCAGGGGGGGCGCGGGAAGCCGTCTGGATGAAAAAAAAACAAAACATGAACACTGAATGCGCTGGGTTTTTACCTTAGAATGGCCAACTCTCTGTTATTCCTATGTCAATTTGATACAGTAGATTCTTCCACACTTCCCATATCTGTGTCCTCTGTCACTTTTATCAGCAGTTAAAACAGTTTAGTCCGTTGTTAACATGTTGTAACCTGTTTTTCCGAGCCGCCTTTAAACGCAACATAAACGCTACGACGCTCGCGCTGGGTTTCCACCTGTGAAGGAGACCTGCTGCTGCTGTGCGGAGCTACGTAGGTTTGTGTTAGAATCACGGCAGCAAACCAGCAAAACGCAAAGAACTTTTCACAGTTTTTCCCTCCAAACTAACCGACTGAGTCGAGTAAAGTTGTTGGATGCAGGTAATGTTAGCTAAAAGATGACTAGCTAATATCAATACAGAACCTTTAGCTTAACAAGTACCTTGTAGTAGGCTACCGATGTTGGTGTCTATTTTCAGCTACGTACATTCATTTTGCCCCCAAAAAAGTCGATGCCCCCCGTCACACGCGTCGTTTCAACCAGACAGCCATTTGTAATCCATAGGGGGGCGCAGAAAATGTTTAGAAACCACTGGGGGGGCGCAGAAGAAAAAGTTTGGGAACCACTGCCTTAGATGGTTGCTGGAGTCCAGAAAAAAAAAAAAAAAAAAGAGGCCATTCAAGCAAGAACAGCCACGGCCAACATTGTAAAAGTTGGTTGTTTTTCAAAATGTTCCAAATTGATTCAAAATATCTTAAAGCAGATTAAAAATAATGGTATTCAAGCAAGCTTCCGTAAAAGCCGTTTCTTGCTCTGCAACTGTCTCAACAATTTCTAAGCTTTTCCTCAAGCTAAATGCTTTAGCAATCAAAGGCTACCCGCTCCAAAAGCTAGGTAATTGCATTGTGTGATTTACTGAAACAGTGTTAATTTAATTGCCAGGGTCAAGACCTCTGTGTTCATCCACTTCGTCAAGTGAACCCGTTCTTTTGGCCTTGTCACATAAAACAGACGTCTCTTGTTAAAAACTAATGGGTCTAATTGGTGCCAAGACAGAACAAACAACTATTGAACACCGCTATCCGGTTTGATCTGGATTTTTAAATAGGCAGTGCATGATGACAACTAGGAACTTTGTTTCACTACTGAAAAAGTAGCAGAACAGATATTGGCATAAATAAGCTAAATAAATAAATAAATAAATAAATAAATAAATAAATAAATAAATAAATAAAAATAATAATAAATGACATGAAAAATATGCTGCATAAATGCACATAAAATACCTTGCAAGAATCTTGCCTTGTTAATTTTTTCGTATTTTGTACTTCAGAGCAGCACTACTTCAACATATTTTTACTTATGTAAAAAGTAAAAAGTAGCCATCCAAAAATGACTCAATTAAGAGTAAAAAAAAAAAAAAAAAGTACAGGCCAAACAAAGAAGCATGTGTACAAGCAATAGGTTTCCCTAACATCTACTGTAAGTTTGTGTGATTTTGGGTTAAAACATGTTTTTTCCACAGTTTCTGAAGTGACTCGGAGTAGGTAGGGTATAAAGAAATTTGTCTCAAGTAAAAGTAAAAGCTAAGCAGAGGAAAATTACTCCTAAAAGTATTTTTTTTTTTATTTTGGCAAAAAATTACTTAAGTAAATGTAACTAAGAAAGTGTAACTAGTTACCGCCCACAGCTGTTCTTGGCATGACATAAAATGCCAAGAAAATACAATAAAGATGTTGCTTTGTCTTGTGACAAAATGTAAAAATGTTTGCAATGTTACTGTGTGCTGGTCTGTTGCAGGAACCTTTGAAAACACATCTTACACATCTGCATCTCACCTTTGCATTGATTCTCATCCCAGGGGTAGACACAGTTCTGAATGCCGTTGCACACCAGAGTGTAGTTTATGCACATGTTACTGTGACAAAAGAAGGCATCAGCATCACATGGAGCTGCACAGGAGGGGGAGGAAAAAAAAAAAAAAAGCAGTTACCAAACACTAAAATCCAATAATTTATTAATGAAACATTAACATTTGACCTGTCCCTTTAAATCAGAGGAGACATATGTTCACATTTTACAAGAGTAAGTCTAAGAAATAATATTTGCTAGAGCACAAAGTTGCATTTGAAGTTACAGATGGGGAGAAGCTGTAGTGTGCCAGGTTTTTGAGGGAAAAAAAAATTGGATCAGAATTACTCAGATCAGATCAGTTCCCTCTGCACACATCTGTTCTTCATGAATTTTCATCATTGCCCTCCTCTTCAAAAAACATCTTGGGTGACAACTTGAGGATACAAATTAATTTCCCAGAACATATCCACATTATGCTCGTATGAATTATGTGACTTTTCAAAAATCCTCCAAACCTGAATAAAACCATTCCTGGTGATTATTTCCCCGCCCTTCCCGCAACTTTCATCAAGAATCATTGAATATTATTACGGAGCATGCGGTCTACTATAGCAACGGCTCTTCTGGAGCTTTTGATATCTTCGCCTTCCTGTGATGACTGTTTGTAGCAAAGCCATCTGTCAGCAGGAAAAAGACATGAAATCGATACGGAACTGTTGCTAACGCCATTGTTGTATGAATGTGGAGGTTCAGAATTAAAAGCCAAGGTGCCCTTGTTCTCCACAACCAATCATGCTAATGCACAAGCCAGATGAATGGTCAGTTCAAAGCTCTTACCTGGCAATTCTGGAGAAAATAAAAAAGGCCAGTACTTAATGAATCAAGCACGCAAATGATCCATAATTACGTTACATGTTTAGACATACAGCAGTTTGTTTATTCTTCATTTAGTCCATAAATAAAGGAGGAAGTCAATGTAACATCCTGAAAAGGTTGAGATAATTTATAGCATGTTTTTTTTTTTTGATAAACCAGACATCATTTGTTAATGGGTGAAGTTTTCACCAGTATCTAGAGTTTAATTATGTCCCACGCTGCTTATTCATCAAGGACTTTGTTCACCGGAGCAGCCAAAGCTCTTGTCAGCTGCTTGCTTTATGTTGGCATACAGTTCTGACCATATTTATTTCTACCACTAGTAAAGTTGCAAAAAGTAGCCTTAAATTGAATTAATATTTATTGCAGTAGCATAATGTCACATTGTAAGCCTTTAATTTGAGTACATTTATTGAGTAAGGGGGAAAAAAAAGTCTTGTTAAAAAGTCATTATATTGTGATAATAAATCATCCGTGGCACAATTGATAGTACAACCAAACAAACCCAATAAAACTAATGGAACGCAAGAATTTTTTGTTTATACTTTACATTTTAAGTGTTATTGGATGTAATAGTTCCTTATTTGCTGTTTCCAAATAAGACCTGGCACAAACATACATTACTTTTAGCCCCTGGCTTTTAGTCTGTGTAATATATTCATCTTGCCACCATGTAAAATGAGCGGGATGGTAAGGGAGGTAAATCTCTAGAGCCTTCTCCTAGAAACTGCGACAAAACGAGTTTTTGTGGAGTCACTAGGTTTCCACGACAACAGATGATACCTGATTGCCAAATGGTTGAAAGGAAATTATGCCAGAAAAAAAGCATTTTGTTTGTCCTATCGTCACAAATCTAAATAGATGAAATCTTCTAACCTCTACCAAGATTTTAACTGAAACTATGCAATTTGATCTGACAAGAGCAACAACAAACTTTTCAGTGAAAAAAAAACAAACAGACAAAAACAAACAAACAAAAAAAACAAAATAAAACAAACAAACAAAAAAACAAACAACGCAGGTGATTCTGGTATGAAACAAAAGATGGATGTGTTGGAAAGCACTTCGTGTTTACCATTACGTAGAGTGGAGGATCTGTGATGCTGTGGGCCGGTTTCTCTTCCAAATTAAAACCTTGTTAGAGGGCATGGATTAGAGATTCTAAAATATCAGGATACTTTAAATACAATCTGGTGGCCTCTACCAGTAAACAGAAAGCGGGCCAGCTGAACGTAGAGAAGAGAAGAGTTGATAGAAACCAGGATTTTAAAGGCTCTATGGAAACTGCAGAAAGCAAAATGTTCAAAGATATCTCTACGAATGTGTCCTTATCCTATTTGTAAAACGGGCTGTAGAAATGACAGCAATAATTTTAGTAATTGATATGGTGCTAAAAATATGGGATTTCTGTCATGACTTTTGCATGGCCCCAAAATGGAATCTCCACTCTGCTTAATATGCACGGCCCATCTTACTGGCATTTATTTGTATGTGAGGCATGTTTTAAGATGTCTTTAAATAGCGACTGTCCCACAAGTAACTCCTGACACGCAGGGATAATGAATGGCTCTCTTTGGTCATTAGTCGTTTGTTACAGAGGAAGTGTCCTTCCCCGTCTCCTGCCCGTCTCATGTTGTCTCTCCTTATCTCTTTCTTTCTTCCTCCCTCTCACATAACACTGTCACTGGCACTGAAGGAGCTTGGCAGAAGTGTGGCAGAGCTGGGGACTCTTGAGACAGTGTTACCACTGTGATGTATGGCTGTTGTTATTTCAGTTCTCATCCCGATTGAGTAATAACACACACAGAAAAAATAAAGAGCGACTTATCTCTTTCTCATTCTCCTACGCGTCCCGCCTGGACCTTCGTCGTAACGCCCTGAATCAAACTATCCTCTCTCTGTGTATCCGAACGCTCTAATTTTCATTCAAAAATTCTCCGTATGCGTGTCGATCTGGTTGTCAGCGAGTGCAACGTCCTACATTATGTGCCAAACCTCTGACAGTTTGTTCCAGTTATCAGCCTCTAGAGGGAGCCCACGTCATCTCGTTTCGCCACCTCTGGTTTCTTCTATTCTCCTCGAGGGGAGACCAGACATAAAGACCGCAGTCTGCTCTTATCTTCAGTGAAATTAATTTCAGGACATTTTGTTATAACTGTGCCCTTTTGCCCACAAATAAATGTTCACAGCCACTAGTGGAGAGATATAAATAAACTCCTAAATGAGTGTCTGGAAGAAGTCTTTGGGTGTCTGCAGAGCCGAAAAGGGTCTTCTGCTGCAAAGTAGAAAACAGGCTCGTTGAGAATCGTTTAACTGAAAAAAGTGAATGCCAATCTCCATTTAATTGCTTGCTCTTTGGATTACAAGGGCCTGGCATTGGTGTTTCTATGCGATGTGAATGAAGCGCCCTTCGTCGTTATTGGCATCCTTTATAGCGATGTTTGAAACTCCTTAAAATACATTTAGCTTTTGTTGCAGTTGCATAATCTTACACTGACAAAAAACAAAAACAAAACAAAAAAAAGCATTTGTCACCACATTTGTCCAAGTCCACAGCCAGAGCACGGAATTAAGTGTAAAACAACTAAAACTGTGATAAACAAGTTGGGATGAGAACAGAACCAAAACTGAATGGTAAGGTAAAGTAACAACAACTCAGAATTGGAGATTCAATGTCACCATCAAGACCGTAACTGGAACTGTGCACTTGAACAAGAAGAGACCAAGACTGAAGGTTTCAGCAACTAAAATTACAGGTGGGTCTGATATTAAAACAACGGATGCCACCATATGTTGCAAAGCACCCTCATACATCTTTGCAAGGAAAGACAACATTGGAGGACGCTGTGTAGGTGTTATAACTAAATACATATACTTTGGATGGATGGATGTATTTTTCTGATTCTAATATGCAAACATTTTTAAAGTAAAAAAATAAATAAAATGCAGTTGAATGCAACTGAATGTGTTCCACTAATCATTAAGCAAAAGACTCATCCATGTACAACTTGTTGAGCAGAGACTGGGCGTGAAAGCTGCCAAAATTCATAGAGTGGCATTGGAACAAAAATGTTATTCAAGTTGTTTGCTCAAAGTCCGAAGTCTGTGAAAAATTTGCTTAACATTTATTGTCGTTTTTGCCTTTTGAGTGCACAAACTGAGTTTGAAGCAGACTGTAATAGAATGAATTTTTTCAATTTCCTATTCTTTGGTCTACGTGGAGCACCGTGCTGTTGTAGCCGTGATCACTTTTCCTTGACAGCGAGAGTTTTTGCTCACCTCTTACAATGGATGGAAAAATTATGCTTTCTTCACAAAAATAAGAAATTTTCACCTATCGCTGCAGCTTCAATGCTCAATTTGCCTCCTACGAATCATCCATCCCTTTTGTCATTAATCTTGATTCATCTGAGATCCAGTGAAATGCTCCAGTCCAACCTGCAGTGGCTTCCTGATTGCAACAGAAGCCGGGATAACAGGTGTACACACACGGCATAATCTGACCAAAACCACGCAAAGATCCCACCACTAAGACAATAAAGAAGCTTTCCAAGAATAATAATAATAATAATAAAAAAAGAAGTGATGTGTGCAGTGAAGCCAGAGCAAATTTCCATCTGCAACCCCAGAGACGTGTTGCAGATGAGGTGAAACAATGCTGACGGCTGAGATGTCACACAGGCACATTTATCACCTAAGACATAATTGCTTCTTGGATGAAGGGGTTCGCTGTCTTATGGCTCACATTTGTGATTGTGCACTGCAAAGCAGGACTGAATGTGTGAGCGGACAGCAAAGGGAGGTCAGTTTGAATGAAGGAAGATATTTGCATTCATGAACACTCTGCCCACAAATACATCTCACTGGAATTTGGCAGGTGTAAACAGCTCTCTAAAAGCTGCTGGTTCCACTGGGAACAAACAAACAAATATGATTTAACATCAGGATAGGCTGCGCTGTGAGCTGCAAATGCATCCCCTTCAACCTCTCGGTTGCAGTAGGTGGACTTATTTGGAGATTGTCCAATCATTAGTGATTTGCTGTTTTGGTTTTCTTCTTATCACAGCAAACAACACTATAGATCAAAAGAGGTTGCTCTTAAATGCATATACTATCATTAGGGAGCCAGAAAGCCTAAAATCTTGAATGTGTGAAACAAGGAAAAATTATAGTCTGCATTTTCATTGTTGTTCAAAACCAGATACATTATTTTAAACAAACCTCTCTGGAAAAAAAAAGAGTGATGTGAGTCACACCCACTGAAACAGGAGATTACTACCAGACATGAGTGATGGCAGAATTTTTGTAATTGCCCTGTATTAAAATCCATCACATTAATTACTGCATGGAATGTTTTGTAACTTAAAAAAATATATATTTTAAAAGTGAATATATCAACTGGATGTGTGAACATGTTTTGGTATCAAAGGAAAAAAAAAAACAGAGAAAAGATTTGCTATGGAGATCATCTTCTATGCAAGAATGTTTTTAAGGGGGAAATCTGAGAAAAGGACTTAACACAGTTCATAGGATAACCGAGACAAACGGTTCGAGGGGCAAAAACAGCCAGATTACCATCACCATCAGAGTTGATGTTTGTGAGCACAAAGTCAGGGAGGAGCATGCTTAAGTTTGTAGTGTCTTTTTTTTTTTTAATGTGTCCACTGTCAGGGAAAAACATAAATTTAATCTCTCCAGTAAACATAACTGCACAAACATCAGCTTCAACTGTGACTGTTTTTATTTTTAAATCCAGTCAAAAAGCAAATACTTCTCCTGACTTCCTCCTTCTCACTGTATTTAAGATGGCATCAAACTTGAGCTGGAGGCTTTCCATCACTACTTTTGTCGTGAGTAGATATTGTGTCATCACTCTTCGTCAACTTTTGTCAACATTCTTAGCAGCCTTGCTTGTTTTTTTTTTTTTTCTTACATTTCTTTTTGGCATATTTCTTAAATTTGATAATGAAATTGACTAAAGCTACTGCAAGACACAATGCAAGATACAACACAACTCAAAAGATTGTCATACGCACTTAATCGACCTGATACCTTTTTCAGCGTATACGTTTTTTTGAGTGAACTTTAATTGTTTGCAAAAAGAAACAGTCTGTAGTAAAGTTGACTAAATTATTTGCTCTACCACTTTGCTCTGCAGAGATCGAATCCATCTATGCATTCAGCGTTGGCAGAGTTGTTGTGGAACTGCTCAGCTGTGGTCGATGCTGCTCTAAATGCGAGGTCTGGCTGAGGACTGCCCGAGTGACTTGGACTGAATCGTTGCCCCGGCAACAGCCCATCATGGCTCTGAACGGCGAAAAAGGTCTTATATGGGGACTCACGCAACACACCACAAGTATTTCTACAGCGAGTTGTGTTGCCCAGCCTTAGGAAAAGCACGTGACCTGCTGTAACAATTCATGTGGAAAAGTAAAAATATCTACATGGTTTGATCCTTTTATGTGGAAAAAGTGATATTTGCTTATTTCAATAACTCTCTTCTACCACAATTTGTTGAATCAGACAAGTTCAGCTGACTTTTTGCACCTTTTACTATGTTCAGAAATTATGCAGACATACATTCTTTGAACTGCCTGTTTTGCTTTTACGAAATTCCCCGTTTTTCTAATGAAACCCTGAACATGACCACTTCTGCCTTTCTATTCTATACGTCAGCTTCCAAAACCTTTTACTTTGATATACACACACCATGAGCAAAGTCACATGGACGCAAGTGTGCTTTTCGTGAAATTTGCCTTACGTTCTTGGTAGGTTGTGAAAAGGATGCGGAAGCGGCTCTTGCGGCTGAGCTCGTCCGCCCACATCCGGATGACTCCCAGCGTGGACACCAGCATGATGTCGTTGGCCACCGTGGAGCAGAACTTGCTCTTCAGGTCTTCCACAGAGCTTAAACAAACACAGAAGGATATTAGAAGATGCATTCTATTGCAAAATGGACATAACCACTGCACCTCTAAATAACCCTCCCTGCTGACTTCATTTTGTTCGTAACGCTTCTTGTGTCATTTCCGGCGTTTACACTTACAATGTGTGCAACTGAAAGAGCCTTTTGGGACGTGGGCCAGCTTTGATCTAATGCAACCACACACATGGATAATTATCTTCCTCACAGCTGATCAAATCATCATCCTCCTCATTTTATGGCTGCTGGCAAACACAAATGACTTGTTGACTATTTTCTTTAGATGGGTTATTGTTAGACACCAAACTAGTTCTCTCCAATAGCACAGAAATCCTGAAAAAAAAAAAAAAAAACTTACTGTAAATAAAATAAAATAAAAATACTGTAATGCTGTTCATCAGTATCCTATCAAGATAGCACATTTCTGGATTAAATTACTTCTGGTTTGGTCTTGAGGGAACTAACTACAGTGTCACAGTCAAACTTTTTAATACTGTTTTTGTTTCTGGAAAATAGATGGCTGTTCTCAGCAATTACAGTTGGATTATTAGACAAAACATACAGTGAAACAAGAGGAACTTTTATGTTTCTTGACATTTCTTTTCCATTGAGAGTTATTATTCACAGTATGATGATGTGACGTTTTAAAACAACTGCATTTGGTGTTTGCTCGTGTTGTCTCTGACTAATATTTCAATTCGTTAGATTTCTGGAAAAGGAGTGGTAAATATGCAAACAATAAAATAAAGGAAATCAGGAAAGGGGCAAACACTTCATACCACTGATTTTATTTGAGAGTCCTACCTTCCTCCGTCATACACTGCTACAAAGTTGCGTTTGCATTCATTGGAGTTTGCCATCTCATAGTCCAGAAAACGCAGATAGATCTGGAGCAATACAAGAGAGCAGATTGGACAAAAACAGATTAACTGGGAAAATGGAACAATACCGTTGTAAAGGGGGAAAATAAATATAGCACATTGGAGGAGAATCATCAAAAAAAAGCTTTTGTTTCAATCTTCTACAACCTTCTAATTAAAACACCTACTTAACACACCTTATCATTTCACAGTATTTCTCCTATGCTCCCTGACTGCCTCGACATCAATGCCAGTTATTTATTCATCAGGCCGAGATCGAACGGCATCATAGCTCGGCTTTGTTCTGCTGTGTACAGCCCTCACCATCACTCCGGGTTAATGAGTGGACAGCTATGACAGAGAAATGTGACACTTTTAAAACGCCCAAAGACACGCGCTGCAGATCGGCCAGGATAATGGACTTCGCAGTGACAACCTGGCTTTGACAACATGACAAGTGAAATGTATCGGAGTGCAAAAACAAGCTAAATGCTTCCCCCGGGGTCTCATATAAAAGGGTCAATAAGCTTTCATCGAGCCAAAAATGGTCAAAGTAAGCTTCTCTATTCTCACATCTGCACACTTGTGTGTCAGGCATACTTATACTCCAACACTTGTACGTACAGTGCCTTGCAAATTCAATCAAGTTTTTCATATTTTGTGATGCTGCAGCCACAAATTTTGAAACATTTCATTAAGATTTTTTTGTGATAGATCAAAACAAAATAGACAATAACAGTGAGGTGTACAGGGAAGATTGGTTAAGCCCTATTTACTTTGATGCCACAATATAAATATAACTTTTCTTTCACAGCAAAGGTTTGTTGGAGGATGTAAGTGAAAAAACAAACAACATTATGAACACACCACAAGCATAAAGTGGGGACTTATAAAGCAAGATTAGGTTGTAAAACAATATTTCACACATTAATTCTCTACATATCTGAAAATGGAAAAGGTACACCATAGCTGAAAACCATCTAAAATAACAAACCAAGTATATAATATTTATACAGTAACTAAGGAGTACTATCTTGGTCATTTGAAGTGGATTTAAGTTAGCTATATAAATGTAGAGAGAGCTTAATACAAATGCATTCCTTTTATTGGTCTATTACATCAAATTCTAGTGAAATATATAGAGGCTTTTAGCTGTGTGTCGTGACCAGGGTGTTAAGAAGACTCGGCCATGTACACACAGCAGATGTTAAGAAATGTGTTTATTATACATAATGTATTAATAGAATCCCATTTTGATGTTTACACCTGTATCTTAAACAATTTAATGATGTCAAATCTTGAAACATCTGCTGAATGGTCAAAGTCATTAACTGTCTGATAGATGACGCTGCGCCACTGAGACATTGACAAAACAGCATAATTATCTGATAAATAAGCTGAAAGGTAAACACAAATGAAAGGAATTAAATGGGTTTTTTTTTCAGCTACTCCTTTGATAAACCGAGTGAAGAAAAAAATCCAAAGCCAGATGGCAAAACACAGAAGAAAGAAAGATGGGTAACACTTTATTTGAAGGGGGTTGAATAAGACTGACATAACACTTGTCATGAACATGAATAATCCTTCATGAATATTTATGACTGTTGTCATAAAGTGTCATTCGGTAAATAGTGACACTTTTAATACAAAGTTGACATTATTCAAAATGTCTTTGTTATGACAACTTGACATTAACCAAGAAATCATTATTGATATAAATTTGTTATAAAAGTATTACTGATTGCACTTTAAAAATGAGTTAACTTTATGTTACTAAAGGTAAAGTTTAAACAGTAATGATTTCCTGGTTAATGTCAAGTTGAAATAACAAAGACATTTTGAATAATGTCAACTTTGTATTAAAAGTGTCATAATTTACCGAATGACGCTTTATGACAACAGTCATAAATATTCATGAAGGCTTATTGATGATCATGACAGGTGTTATGTCATGTTAATGACAGTGTCATGTCAGTCTCATTCAACCCCCTTCAAATAAAGTGTTACCGAAAGATGTAATCAAAATTTATAAGTCCGAATTATTTGCTCTCGGAGGAAAAAAAAAAAAAAAAAAAAAAAAAAAAAACTGCTGCTTCCTTAATAGCAATAGCCAATAATGGCGAAGACTCAGTCGCTGACTGAAGAAGATAATGTTCTCTCTGTGCCCAGCTAAAAGGTGCCCAGAACACAGCATGCTGCTCCTTACAGTCAGAGTGATCCTTGTCTTCATAAAATATGAACAAAGTGTCGGAAAGTTCAGACAGACATGTTGGAAAAAAATAGACACGACAAACATGTTCCATGGTGGAAATAATCTTTGACACTCCCAAGAGCTGCCAGGTGTACTTGGATATCTGTCTAAGCAGAAATAACAAGAGGGGGACATGGTGCTAACAAAAAAAAAAAAAAAAACACACACACAACCCACATACATACACGTATTTGCAGTCTGACGTTTTATTTTGCAGGCATGTGTCTGATTAAATGTTCTTTCATGATGCCTTGGATACCAGTAAAAGCTCATTAATTTTGATTTTTTTTTCTCCCCCTGTGGTTGCTACAAATTCTCTTTAGAAAAAAAATAAAAGATGTTCAGATGACACATGCTGGTGTAAAGATCTAACATCATCATTAAAAGTGGTGCATTGCTGTCACTTCTGGCAACAACACACGGCCATTACTGCTTTCTGCAGGTGTGCCTACCCCTTACCATGACTCTTTCTCTCTCTCTTTGCCATCTGCCTTCCACACTTAATCTCCATCCCTTTTACATTTAGACCTTAGATAAAATACATTATTTAGCAACCCCGAGCCCCCGACCCTCTTCCTTTTCTGCACCCCGTTTTTCCTGCCTACTCTCTGGAGTCCGCCGGTGCAGTCTAATTAGAGCCTCCGGCGTAGGATGTCACTATCTCTCTACTGCTTCTGGCACACTGGCAACAGTGCAGCGCTGTAAGAGCATAGAGGGGTATTGAACAATTTGCTCAGATTACAGCACGGCAAACATGTATGTAACATATAAAGTGAGGGGAGGTGTGATTCACTCCTTCACTGCGGTAACATAAGCGTGTGTCTGCACTCTCTGACAGAAACACGAACCAGAGGTTTTATACGCTTCGTGAGTTTTGCAGATAGAGCCAGTGAGAAGTTTAAAACCGTGCACCTGTAGAGATTGAATCATGCTCGAAAATGCATTCGCGTTCGTGCCTATCGGTACCACTGAGTGGAAACCTTTGGCCCTTGACTTGCCCTGGGATGCGATTTTGTAGGATGACATTTTAAAATGATTTGGAAATCACTTTCCAATGGTCCCGTTATGTTCGTTTTTCATTAATCACGTCTGTAAATTGTAAAACTGACTCGCGTTCTTTGGCATGCATGCAAATATCGCACTGTACCAGAATAGGCTACATGCTGAATAATAATAATAATAAAAAAAAATGAAATAAAAATCAGTCTTGTATTGATAAGGGCTCAGCATCCCTCTGCCTTCCTTTCATTTAATTTTTTTAAATTTTACTACTACTTATAGCACATCCCTAATTCCCCGCTGATGATTCAGAAAAAGTCTGAAGGTGGATGGTGCAATCTCACAGCTCCAGTGGCCTTGACTTTTAAAGCAGCTGAATCAGAAGGGCATTTCCGACTGAAACAAAGGCATTAGTGGGAAATATGCAACCCTGAAGAGGATGCCAGATACGAACAGCTGCTGCAGCCATGAATCATAGCCATACCATTGTTATCAGCCAGCCATATCATAAACCAGCATGCATATGCGTCAGAGGAGGCTGGAACATAAAAGAGCAGGAGGCTTTTCTCTTTTCTGAGAGCCAGAGGAAGTCCGAATCAACCATTACGTTAGCTAAGAATCACCCAGCTTATTGTCATTTAAATTACTTTATTTAAATGGCATGTTGGGGAAAACATGCAGCAGAAGAAAAAAATAGAGTATCGATCTGAGTGAAGCAATAGTGACATTTACTGGAAGCAAACATAAATGATTTTTCTACCTTTAAAAACAGGTATGACGCAAGGTAAAAAAAAACAAAAAACATGCACATGAATAAAATATTTAATTAACGTAGTTAAGAATGCAAAACTATTCAAAAATTGCACACTTCAATTGAAAAAAAAAAAAAAAAGACATGTAACTAATCAAATGTACTCCATTCAATAATCAATGCTCTGCAGCGGTTTTGAGCTTGGTGGTCATAATGTTATGGCTGATCAGTGTAACTAGCACAAAGTCTTTGAAATATGTGTTTTTTTTTTCTGTTTGGTGCTTCAGGCTCAGGAGACTTTTAATCCTTTAGCATTAATGCAGCACAGGTACCTCCCAAAGATAAGAAAGCGAGTCTACAGTGTATTCGTGGCTGGAGTGAAGTTGTGCATGTTTACGAGTGTTGGAGCATATCTGTATTTATTTTATTTTTTTATGCATGCAGGGTTGCGTCCAGACACTGGCATAGAAAACAAATATGGGAAGCCCCAGGGTAAAGGGTCAAACTGCATTGTAACACCATTTCATCAGTGCTAAATCACCCTGTCTTTTTCTGCCCTAAACAAGTCTTCCTCTCTCTCATCCTCTCTTTTTACTCTCCACATCCTTTCCGTGCTTTGTTCCTCTTGGCAACACTGCTTCGATTAGGAAAAAAACGAGCACCTGGCCCTAAGTAAGCCCTTCTGCCTGTTTGTCTTTCTGACCCTAGCGGCGGAACGCTTTCCTCCCCGCAGCGACAAAAACCTTCACAGGCAACAGAATATGTTTCTGCGTTGTCTGAGGAGACACAAAACTAAATCAACTAACTTACATCGTTATCGCAGTTGGATGAGGAATGGTTAAGCCACTGACCTTGGAACGGGGTGGAGCACGGATGTACCATTTACAGTCGACGGCCTCGGCGGCACCTGCTTTCCCGTCTCTTGTGATCTGGTGGGACTCAACGATACCTTCTGGACCAACCATGTCATACTGACAGGCTGAAACACAGGTGTATGCATAAACACGTACAAAAGCAATGTTCCGTATATGCAGTCATGTGAAAAGGAAATATTCTGCATGGGAAAGTCATTGGAAATGCTAAGTACACCGCAGGAATCAATGAAAACTTGGTTATGAAAACAGTTATTTTCTCAGATCACGGTGGAGGAATTTTGTCCCATTCTTTATAACTTTGCTTCAGCTAATGGAGGTTTTCGATGATATGCTTTAATAGAGAACTAGTAGGATCCCACCACAGCATTTTAGGACAGGGTAAGGTTTTAACGTTACAAAGCGTTAACTTTTAACCCTTCCCTGTTTTGTGGAAAGGCACACCTCTCTGATCCAGAACAGCAAATTGCCCTCTTAAATTTGATATAAGCAGCAAAGGTATACTTAATGTGTATTCACACCAGCCCTGTTTAGTCCGCTTTAATCAGACTCTAGTTTGTCTAGAAAGTCCAGCTCTTTTGGGGAGGTGTGAATGAGCAATCAAACTCTGATGCGGACCAAAAAAAAACAACAAAAAAACAAAAAAGCTAACACTGGTCCAACAAGAAACCTCGTTTGAATGCATACGTGGATGCAAACAGACCACACACCGCTCCAAAAGCAGGAAGTGAACTATAGTGCAGGGCATTCTGGGTGAATATTACTAAAAACAAATGCAGACTCTAACTCTAGAGGGAGAAATGGCTCGTGGTATTTTACCAAAGACAAAAGTGAAATCTTACAACCGCTAACATTTGACGCTGCTCTATTTTTGTTTACATTTTATGAAGAAAGAAGTTGTAGTCTTCTTTGAAATGGCACAGATGTTGCAGTATTACTCTGAACTGAGTATCAGATATGAAAACATCCTCGGTGTTTTACCGTATTGTATTAACATTGATTGAAAGTGATAACAAATGTACATCTTTTGTCCATTGTAGGTGGTTTGATGTGGTGTGTAAATTGATTGATGGATGGATGAATGGATGCTACAAGTACATATGCAAATATTGCAATAGTGAAACACAGTTTGTACAGAGCACCATTTCAAGCCCTAGGAAGAAAAAAACTGTGGTAAAACATGGTGAGAAATGTAATCAGAAATGAGGCAGAAAGAGAAAAAGGAACAAAAAAAGCAAAAAAAAAAAACCAAAAAACAGAAGTAAAAACAGAGACTGAGAGAGTATACCTACAGGGCAGAGGTGGGGGTACTCCCAAATCAGCAAAGTCGGGATCTGAGGAGATAGAAGAGGGGAAACAGAGAGGTGGGGGCATTTATTTTTAATGCCTGAAATACATTTTTTTATAACACAGCAGCAAAGTGCATAATGCATAAGGGAAGCCTGTGTATGAAGAACTCACATGACCTATGAATTCTGGCAATCTTAAGTGATGTGGTAAAAATCTATATTTTTTTATGTGTTTTTATGAACAGGAGACTTATTTTGACAACTTACACCAGTGAAACAAGTATAGTTATGGTTACATATTGTTATATTTCATCATATTGGAAATAACTGAGCATGAATAGGTGTTTCCTTTTTTTTTTTTACATATGTGACTGAGCTTGTTTAAGGCTATTACATCATCATAATTACATACAAAGCCATGCCTAATTATATGTGCATGGCTTGCACACTCGAAACAGTGAAAAAAAAACAAACTTATCAGTAGACATTTTACGGTTGTGATATTAAGCCGTATGGTTCCATAAGACGAAAGAGATGTTTTTGCATTTATAAGAGGGAAGCTATCATCTCTATCAGTACCGCAGTTAGTTTTAATGTGCGTATTTGTAATGTACGCAGTTCAACATAGCATCGGAGCCACCGGTGTAAAAGCACATCAGATTTAAATGAGCATGCTTTCTGAATTCCCAGGACGTAAAGTAAAGTGCACATGTTGAGGTCTCTGTAGCTCAGGTGTGCAAAGTATTTCATACGGTAAGAAGACAAAACATGATATCTCTTGTTTTAAGGTAAAGATAAAATGCATGGTTAAAGCATGAAAGAACGCAACACCAAGAGTCTTTCATGGTTCACAGGAATAATTCAAAGCTTTCAAGGACGTTGCAGGAAATCACAAACATTACCAGGTCACTGTTGGGTCAGCGTTAGTACTTACAATTAAGATGACCCCAGAAGTCACAAAAAAATAATGTTTACTGTTGATTCATACTATTATATATATTTACCAATGTGTGCATGAGTGCTGCGAGTGTGCTACAGCGGATTGTACTTACTATCTTTGAGTTAGCAGAGCTTCAGCATTAGCAGCTGAGACAATGGAGACACTGTTTAACACGGCGACAGGGACGAGACTACCTGCTTGTATTTTATGCAGGTTAGTGAAATTAAAAGAACATACAACAGAAAATTAAACAGAATGAGCTCCTGATGCAGAAATAAAGTGAGTTGTTACCAGTCAATAACTTTACAAAGCGAAATTTTACATCAGACTCATGAGTAAGTTGCACGAGGAAGGTAAAGTTTTGAGTACTGCTGCAATATGTTGGATCAAAATGGCTGCCGGTGATGACAACGTCTTTTACCTAACATCACAGTTTGTTAATTCTGAAGATTCAATGTTATGACATCTCCAATGCTGTAATGATAGGCTTCTCTATGGACAGAAGTCGTCTAAGCTTCAACTTGCTCTTTTCTCATCACTTCAGTAGAAACGTTTCTGTTTTCCAATAAAAGTTCAAAATCGGAAAGTCTACAGTTAGAAATCAAGATCAACTCCAGAAATATTAAAGCGTAATTTACTAATTCTGATTTAGCGCATTACTTTTTGATATAACATGTAAATAGAGTAGATATCGTATTAAACCAGTTCCACTTGACTTCATTTGATCCCAGTAACAAAGCTTGTGTGCCTTTGCAGCTCTGCAGTCAGTTATAATCTTCTGACTGCCTTCATCTGAGGACGCACAAAATCCACTCGAGGATAAATGGTGACATGGCTACCACTGACTGAGCTCAGTGTGGAAAATGAGCTCTGATTGCACAGCATGAACTTCTTTCCTAAATGCCACTGACTTTTTTTTTTTGTCTGTGTAGACGCTCTAAATTCTTGGTCTAGACATGAATCAGTGACTATTTGTTCTAGCTCAGCAGACATGGAAAAAAAGAAGTCGGAAATAGCTTGCAATGAACACCTGGTGACGGAACAAAATTTGCACAAAAAATGTAAATCAAACCTCAAATAAGGATAAAGTTACCATTGAAAGGCAAAGTTAGTTTTTTTTTTTCCAACTAATTGCAGCTGTGTTCAAAGTCAAAACGTAATTTCAGTAAACTTTCTAAAGGACAGTCTTTTGATAACCATTTAAATGATTTATAATTAGTGTATCAAAACCTCTTACAAATGAACAGGGATAAGAGTCAATAAGAGATATGATTGAAGTGATATGCTCTTTCGAGGCTTTGATTACTCTCCACACCTGTTGCTCTCAACATGATTTAAAATCTATTTCTGCAAAGTTGAGCAGCAATCAGTATACGCCTAGCTGGCTTTGGATTGTTCAGTGATACTGCACGACTCATTTTCTTGTTTGTTTTTATCTTTAAAGGAAAGAAAGTTACAACTAAACAACCCTGATTTTGCTCAAGAGCATTTCCCTGCTTTCTGCAGGAGAATATGAGGTGATTATTCATCTTCATATTGGACATATTGAAAAAAAAAAACTAAAACATTTGGCCGTTACTTAAAGCATATATTTCATGACAAACTTTGAAGGCTTCTGTCCTCTCCACCTCTGTGTTATTGCTTATGTCTGTGAGAAATGAAAAAAAAACAAACAAAAAAAAAACAGAGTAGAAGACATTGACCTCGAGGTCATATTTGCTGCCTTTTTGAGATGATTTCTTGTTTGCATAAGGTATCATGATCCACATAACGATCACAAGGCCAGCCAGAATGAGAGCAGCCTGACAGCACGCCTTTAATAAAGGCTGTTCTTAACATAGCAACAGAGATCTCACCACAGGACTACAGTGCCTGTAAATTCCTCCATGGCGACCCTTGACCTTTCCAAACTTGAGCAGTTGAATGTTAATGAGACATCCTTCGGGCCTCCATTGATCAGCCCCCTTCCTTTCCTGTCTGTCACCACTGATTAATAGATCCAATCAATTAGCTGGATGGATGAAATGAATGACGAACTAAATGTTTACTCTCTGTATGAGTGATGATGTAACGTATTTACAATCTCAGCAAGATTCATAATCTCAGCCACGTCGGTGACACTACATCACAGTGTGAATATGATATTTCCAAAGCTCTGCTGAGTTTCATCACAGCATGCCGACGTTATTAATTTGTTTGTTTTGTGCTGTCATTGTCATTAACTTCCCCCTATGGGGTCCCCAATTTATACACTGTGGAAACAGCTTTGTATTAGCAGAAGAAATTTAGTGCAAAATGCCACACATTTTCCTCTGTTAAAAGTCCAAATTCTTGACAAGAGCATGCTCACTTGAAAGCCCAGAACGTAGAGTTGGATTTTAAATCTTTAAAATGGACTGTCTGCTGAGGTCGCTTTCGAAGCAAAATGCCCCTAAGATACAACATTTTAACGTTGACTGGTACATCAATAGAGCAGAGTATTTTGTGTGCAGCTGGGAACTGACCTCAGACCAACAGAACCCTGCCACCGGACTGTCCATGTCTGAAAAACTAATACTTAACAAATAGCTTGAGCCCGTGTTCACTAAGAGGATGACTATGACTCTTTCCCAGGTACAGAAGCTTTGCTGGCCTTTTTAAGTTGCTTTTCAACATTAGTGTTGCAGACCTAGCTTGTAGCATTAGCACAGCTAATCAACCAGATTCTTTCAAATTACATAAACTGGACAAAAAAAAAAACAACAACAAAAAACTGTGTACATACTATGCAAGCCTCGACTACAAGCAGACATTTTTATAAAATGTTCCGTTAGATTTTTTCTAACATATCCCTTCATATGAGAGGCTGGTAAATTGGACATTCCTGACGTAGACATTAGTGAATTGTTATAATGTCTTATGCGTAGATTAACACAGTTCAGATTTGTAGTACAAAGTGTTCCCCATATGTCCTTTAGGCACTCACAAATGAAACAGCGTGCTACAGAGCTGAAGATGTGAACTTCTAATGACTACAATTCCATAAGTGTTGCATTACTTTTAATAACACAGACAGGAACAGAATGTTTTATTAATAAGGTACAATAAATCGCATTTAAAGTTAAATCGCATACTTCACTGCTACACTTGCTGCACATCCCTTCGCTGTTAACTCTTGCCCCTAATTTATGCATAACTGATGAGCAAGCTCATGATTGTGAGTGTGGAACAATGTTTCAGGAATTAAACATGAGAAGAGGAAAGGAGAAAGCAAAGGCACTGACAAGCAGCCCACACACAAAACTCCGTTTCCCAATGGCCTCATTTCCTCCCAACCACTTGGTGGTGACATTTAAATAAGCACCTGATTAATAATCTCTGTTTATGTGGTTGATCGAGTTAATGAATAGGCACCATTAATCACACCAACCACAGATGTGGATAAAGTTACACCAAAGGACCAAAACGGAGCTGCGGGAGGAAAGAGAGAGCGCGAACAGGGGTGACTGTCTCTCATGTCATTATAGTTCAACTAACATCCAGATCTCACATCAAACCAACACGAATACACGCTGGACTGTTTGCTTGAGAAAACATGTGTCACTGTGAAAATCTCGCCTAATGAAACACCGCTTTAGAAATTAGCCACGTATCTGATGTGGCTCAGCGGGACTTTGTCGTCTCTCTTTGGTTGACAAGCCATCTGCACTTTGAAAAATTTGATGTCAAACGTGGATGCTGTAGGACCTGCAAAGGACTGATAGGATTTACCACGGCCTGGGTGTCATGGTCAGTGAGCTGGGTCTGTGCCTTGAATGGCGATTAGCGCCGATGTGTACCGCGACGCCATGTCACGAGCGTCAACATCTACACATCAGCAGTCCTACTAGAAACTGCACCACATAGCAAAGAAGGGAAAAAAAAAAAAACACGTCTTGCTTACGGCGAAGAAAAAAAAGATCTGACGAATATATTTTCCCTGTGAACCTTAGTTCACTTTGTTTTACATTCATACAGACAGCTGCCCTTGACCTCGTAATATACGGTCTGTAACCCTGCAGCAAGAGCTTGTCGCTGGCAAAACTCTCCTGAGTAATTTCCAATCCTACCACAACTATCTATGGTTCAAGTGCCCTTGATTAAAAGCACTTAACCCCCAGGATGTT